GTCATGCTATATAACAATGCATCAACACATACTATTAAACTATATGCTCAAAGGTGTGTTTGTTTTTCCATTTAACAAGTTACAGCAGTGTGCTTTAATGCTATTATCATGTGTGTAGTTTTAAGTATCCTCTCTGCAATGCCTACGAAGGCCCCTGGAAGGAATAAATTAATAAATAACATTTTCACATCACTGGAGTTGGTTTTCGGATGCACCACATGTTCAGGAAAGGTTGAACGAGTGCAGCCCCTTGCAAGAAGTCTGCCAGTCTGGTTTGACCCCTTAAATAATATTGAAGGGTCAGAGATGCGAGTGTCCTCGTAAGGTCCAGAGCGTGCAGTGGACACAATTCTCGGTGTGTAGACTCTGAAGGCATGAAGGCAAGCGGAAATATGTGTATCTGGTTAGTGTATCAAATATGTTTATTTCCACTTGATTACATACTTATTGATTCTTAGGAAATGGTTCCATAACGAGTTCTTTCTGCGACAGTCTCGTGTCAGGCGTTCAGTCGTAGTACCTGTGGACCTTGTTGTCGGATGACGCTCCTGGCACGTCGGTGTTCAGTTTGGTCGAGTGGCAACTTTGACCGACTGATGCTGTCTTGTAATCATACGTCATGTGCGGCCACTGACGTCTGATGCACCGAAGCTGCAGGGCTGTCTCCTAATCCGAAAATTTTCCTGGTAGTTTTCGGCATCAATGCAGCAAGCTCGGGCATGTATTGCTTACGTGGCTGTGCCTTTTGCTGTACCGTTGACTTGATAGCTGGCAACAATTTTTGTTTGCTATCCAAGTCTGGTGATGCTTGCAGTTCACTTTTGAGAGCAACCAACCATTCTATTCCTTCAAGTCACTCAGGGGCATTCTCCCTCAAAGTTGGAAATTGTGAGCTTTGTGGAGTGGACACAGAAAATTGATGTCAGCAAATTTTTAGGTATTGTCCTTGGACGACAACCAACACCAAATCCACTGTCACTGCATCGCCGCTCACCTGCTTTGTCGTGCTTACCTCTTGTTGGGGTGATGGACATGAGGAGCTTCGGGGTAATCAGGGATTCAGAATCTTCGATTCAGCACCTTCGGCATCAGGGACAAAGGTCGCCAAAGGTAATCCTTAATCTCCCGTGGTCGCTCCTCGAGACGTAATCGAGGGTCGTTTGGCACAAACCATCGCAGACCAATTCATTGGTACGGGCTGCTTTGGTAGACATGGTCGGCTTCATGCAGTGGTAGCAAAGTGGTTTTCGGTCGCACATTCGCATCACCTACGTTTTCCTCGGTGTACTTTGTTGAGCACAAACCTACACACGATGTCGGGAATGCTTCGGCGTTAGAGTGTCTCATTGAATTGGCATTGAATACTAAGAGGCAGCCGGTGGCGGTCGTCGTGCCATTGTGGCGTAAGTTGCCCTTGGTTTGTCAGATGCCGCTTCGCTCGCAGAAGTCTCGGTTGAAATACCTGTCAAACTTGTTCCAAAACAACCTCGGCAATCAAAATAAAAGCCAGGCAACTGATGGCAGGAAGTAGCTTCCTGATCTCCTCCCAGAGAACGTCGAGGATGATGTCGTGGATGCCTGGGAGGCTGGCGTCGAAGTAGTAGCTGGACAACTCGAGTGTCGAGACGCCGGGAAGTTGTTCATAGTGGCAGGCGCGGGCATGCAGTGCACATTCCATGTTGGAAGCCTCGGTGATATGAACACTTCGACTGTTGTTGGGGGTTGCGGACAAGGCTGCCGAAGGTGTTGTCCCTCACGTGAGGGGCATGGGATTCTTAGGTTCTTGTCTTCTGTAGCATCAAGGTCGGCGTGGGCGTGGGCGCTCGATCAAGCGCAAAACATCCTCCACGAGTGCAATGGCGCTCTCGTTGGGGCAGTGTCCTGGACAGAATCAAGAATGCGGCTCTCTCTCGTTGATGTTGGCTGACAAATGCGCGCTTCAGCTCGATCTTGCAAACTTCCCATGACGTTAAGGAGGATCCACGGTTCTCAGACCAGCGTCGGCAGTTTCTTCCACGAAAAGTATAGGTTCTGCAGAGCTGGTTGTCTGTCCACCCAATGTGGCGGGCCACACTGTCATATTGTTCAATCCAGTCCTTGACGTCTTCATACACCTTTCGTGAAAAAGCGTCGGAGTGTGATTAGCGACGGGCATGCAAACAATGGTGGGAGGGGACACGGTTTGCTGCTACAGGTTTGTCATTGTTGGCTCAGTCAGCTTCGGATTTTCTGACAGGAGACTGAATTCCGGTGGTTTTTCCTGGTAGCAGCAACTGGCTCGGATTTCAGGTGCTTCGTGGTGTATTTCCGAGGTTACTTTTTGTGGTATTCAGTCGTCTTACGGTTGTTCTGCCAGGCTAGGGTCAGGACTTTGCTTACGGCTCGACGGGGTGTAAGACGCAGGATAGTCCGCCAGCCGTGTCCCATTATCGAGTAACTCGGCTGAAGAGCCGGCGGGTTCACACAGAGTGAAGGGCTATGGGTGCCCAGCACCTCCACCAGAACATACGATTACAGCTGAGCATGACCTGCAGTGTCCCAGAATAGTGAATATTGATAGAAGATAGGACTGGAACAAGGATCCGTGACAGTATAACAAAACTCGCAGAAGAGAATTTTTTCTGACCACTGAAGAAGCTGCATTGCTTTAGTGGCATTCTGTCCGAATAAATCCTCTCCTTCGGGGTTTGGCGACTGCCGTGGACGAACTGAACTGAAGTGGATGTGGGACCACTTTTCTGGTAATGAGCCACTGCAGACTGTTGCCACAAAGCGGCGTGAGCTGGGTACGTAACACGCTCGATGAAATGTCCGGACAGCTTGCAATTCGCGTAACGAGTGTGGATGAAACGTTTGTGTTGACGAAACGTGCGACAGACCAGCGGGATCAATACCAATTGCAACACCTGTGCTCCGTGAAAGTGCACGTCTACGCCGGAACAATTTCGGAAGCAGCACAGCATCACCTAAACCATGGCACAGGAACTACCAGCTTGAAGGCAGCTCTTCGGTGCGCCGCACACCTGTGCTCCGTGAAAGTGCACTTCTACGCCGGAACAATTTGTAAGCAGCACAGCATCATTCAGCACGGCACGGGAACTACCAGCTTCAAGGCAGCCTTCCGGTGCGCCGCACAACCGAAGTAAGCCCTCGGTCATTTGATCGAAGCTGCACCACGATTGCACACCGCCAAGCACTACTCACGCAATTTCCGTCGCTAAACTGTGTATCCAAATATATTGCACACGCTTCACTGCAAACCTCGAAGATTCCGATGGTCAACGAGAGCACGGAAACGTCGCCTTAAATTTTATCCTAGCGGTATCCGAATCATTCCGAGGTCCGAGCAACGTAGGTCAGATTGTCTCTTCCGTGGCAATATCCCGGTCGGTCACCAGCGAAATGCATACCGTTCCTCCGTATTTTCACGTTATACCTACGTCAAACACCACGCCGAACTCTGAACTCGCTTTCGACCGGCCTCATATGACGGCTTCCGCGTCTGAAATCAACTCGCCGAGCCGAACGACAACCAACAAAGTATCCGACAAGCTCCGGCCCAGCTGGGGCCAGCCGCTGCATGGGCGCTGCCATCTTTCCTGTGACGTCACGTATTTGGTTTGGTCATGTGACGTGTGGTAAAATTTGCGTACAATGGCAGCCGCCTTATGGGGGTCACTTTCGAGTGCAGACCGGAACCCCGGTTTATCGCTCTAATGGTACGTTTACACTTGCGGATCCGCTAGCGAATCCGCCCAGCTTTCGCCGCTGGGGCGAAACGCTGGGCGGAAAACGCGGCGGCGAGCCGTTTTTTGCCGCCGAACGAGGCGTTTCGCTGACCGGAAGTGACATTCTTGCGCGGCGCGACGCTGCCTACGTCATGAGTACGCGTTCTTCCGGCAGCAGCAACGCCCGGGAGCAAGGAGGTTACCCGGGAGAGAGAGAGCCGAGGCGGGAACTCTCGCGCCTTCTCGTCATATTTGACGAGAGGTTACGGGAACCGCTGCCGCAGCCGGCGCTTCCGCCACTGCTCGAAGGAAATAGATGTAAACACATGACCAGCTCGCCACCGCCGCCGCCGGGAGCGGATCCGCTCCCGCGGCAGCGGATTTCTTCTCAGGTGTAAACGTACCATAAGCCCCTCTACCTCGTTGGTGTATACGCCGGGCTTCGAGTTATCAAAGCAGCCGTCCGGCGGCGCGTCGACCGGGGAGAGTTTGGCCAGTGGGTGGGTGGCGATGAAGGCGCCGGAGAGGAGAAAAGTAAATGAAAGGGAGGAGAGCGCCGAAGGAGCGAGAGAGAAAGAAGGGAGAAGAGAGGAGACGACCGCCATTTTTTAGCAACGCTGTCGGAGACTGGTCGGAGAAGAGCACTGCTGAGGCTACGCGGCGTCTGCTACGGGCAGACTTCTTTTTCGCCTGAATAAAAGTTTGTGGCCATACGCCGAAAAATCTTCATTCCTTAGCTTCCTAACCCACCGAGGAATAACAGAATGTCGTTTTCTTGCCAGAGCCAGCGATATAAAACGCAACAATCGAGATTTAGAGGCCGATTCCACGCATTCCGCCGGGCGAATGATCGAAGATGGCGGCCCTCCCCACTCAGGTGGGAGCAGCCGGGAGTTCACGCGCATGCGCTCGTGCCTCTCGCTCTACGCCGCGTACTGATTGGCTCACTTGGGAGGAGAGCGTTACGGCGGCGAGATCATAGACTGACCAAACTCTCCCCATATACGGCTCTGCCCCAGGCGAGTCGTGGTGAATGAGAGGGGGTACTGTTCGTGCATGCAGCGTATATGAGCAGTTCCGCAACTGAGCTAATTTAATAACTTTGCTCCTGGGCAAGAAGCAGACGACTTGCTCTCCACATTCATGCCATCCCACCGAATAGCCACAGATCAATTTTACTCACCCTGTAAATGCCACTTCAAAAGGCGAACTGAAAGAGCACAAGAACGCACTGTGAAGCATACTCGCTTCCCGTCACTGTGAAACACAACCGACGTTGGCATATACTTTATTCGCTTCAGGATCGAGTACACAACACAATCAAAAATAGGCGTATGCAATAGCTACGTTTGCACTTTCCAACATTAGGATTGCATGTAGTTGCCAAAACCATATATCAAGTTTTGATATCGTCTCTGCGCTGCCTTAAAAGTTGCGCTAAGCCGACGCCGATTCTTCCAGACATAACAAAAGTACAATGACTCCTTTAGAACATTAAGCGGCAAGTCAACATCAACATCAATCAAGTCGACAGTCAACATGAGTCGCGAACACGTCAAAACGGTTCGTTGGTGGTAAAACATCGTCCCGTCGATGTCGCTTTCTGTGAAACATGCTTGCACGTCGCCGGCTGAAAACACCCACGAGTCACAAAGGCATGTCTTCGAATGATGTAGGTCGGATGCCTGCCTATCGGGACTCGACCTCTTGTGGTCTATCATTATCACAAGAACAGTACGAACGTATAACTATACAACCGGCCGTCGATAAATAGATAATAGTAACACATTTTTATTCTTTATTCATAGCCACCACTTTTTCAGCCTAAACTGGCACACGGTGGGGGCTGCGGCTTTTGTGAGCCAACAAGCAGAGCTGGGAACTAAATATAGCCATAACACTAAAAAGAGTTACCATGGCGGTATTCAAAAATTTCTAAATTATAATTCATTTCTGTCCTCTATATCTTACCTATTATTGGTTATATACCATAAAGTAGGGCGAATCCCCAAGGTGGAGAACATTTATGAAAAATAGACTTTCACCTGAAATGGAACACAGCTCGCAACCCCTGAGCAACTAGTGGCCGGTGAAAAAATCTGCTTGATCCGAGAATTGATCCCGGGACCTCTTTGATACTTGCTGAGCGCTCTACAGACTCAGTTAACAAGGAGTATAGTCTCGCTTTTAGTTGCAAATTAGTTTATTCTGGAGCAAGTCTTATCCACCTTGGGACTTTCTTTAAATCGCCATATCTAATAATTAAACGTGAGACCTCGCCCTTGTGGTGGTTACAATCTTCTCGTGGTTATAATAAAGACTAGTGCCAACTGTTAGCCTTCGTTTTTTCTGCCGGGTACTCACCGATAGTCTTGGACATGTCCTGGGATCAATTATCGGTCCAGAAAGATTTCCTCAGCGGCCACCAGTAACCCAGAAGACGCGAGTTACTCTCCATGTCAGGTGGAAGTCGCCTGAGGTATTTGTTCAATTTCAGAATAACCTGTGACTAGTCACAGTTACGTCAGATTATGATGTCGACTAATACCCAAAATCGTATTTATTAATCTCCAAAATTGTACAATATGTTGGCACCGTCTCAAACACTGCCGCAAATAGGATGCTCAAGTCGAAACTGCGTCAGTATCTTTTTTTTTTATACTTTGGAAACCACACCATTGGTCAGCAATCGCAGCTTGCCTATTGGCGTTACGTGATCATTTAAGAGCAATGAAAGGTAGCTCGGTTACTAGGTGTGAGTAATTACGTGAAAGTAATAAAAATATAAATATGAATATTCACGTGGCTCAAATGTAACAGGCATAATTTTGCCTGTTACACTTGGGCTCAAATGTAACAGGCATAATTTTGAAGAATGACTTTTTCAGCGAGTTACGCTGTATACTTCGTAGTCGTAAGCCTCGCTTTGACCTTTTTCTGCTAGTTAGGCTCGTAGGACTAGCCGCTGGACAAATTATGCTGAAACAGTATAGGTATACGCTTGTCTAGGTCTCACAGAAGCAACAAGTAACGCGGCGAGACAAAAAGAACGAAGCCGCCAACGACAAGGCGGCGATAATATGCGACGGACATGGCGCGATGCCTTATAGTGCATGTCCCAGCTTGTGCTTGATATAGTGTAGCACCACCTTCTGCGGGTACTCTTGCCACTTGAGCATGACGTCCTTAGGCGTCGATACCTGGTCTCCCTGCGTTCTGTCCAGCAGCGTGACGCACACCACGGCGCCTGTAAACCAAGGAGAAATAGAATGCCAAAAGGTCGCTTATGTGTATCGAATTATATTGTATTGCATTGTATTTCTTTCGGACGAAAAAGTCTGAGGGGCTAGGGTAAAAGAAGACATGCTTGTCTTCTGACAGGACCTAGCCCGAGGTTTTTACAGCACTCGGCAGAGAAATAGACAAAAACAAAGGATAAAGAATCATTCCCATACGTGCCACGTACATCAGCACTGGTTAAAATATAAATTTAGTTTAAAATTTAGAAAATGTTAGAATAAATATTGGAGTACAAACTGCAGGTCGCGAAAGGTTTTAAATATAGGTTACTAGGTTATTATTAACTGTCTTAAATTACCTATTATGTTCCATCATTTGTGTTATGGTGGGATGTGTATTTAGGGTGCCTGGAATGAGATTTGAGAGTTGCTAGAAACCATAATTAGTGTGGACTTCGCTTTTATATGTAATGTTGATGTCAGAAACTGTAACTTCCTGGGAGTTTTGGAAACATGCTAAAGTGATTGGTCCCGTCTAATTCGATGGAAAATATTAACATACATTTTTAGAAGCAGAAGTTGGTCTATAGTGAGTATTTTTAACACCTAAAATGAAGACATTTTGTGATGATATTTTTTTTAGGTTCCCGAAAAACCGGAAACCTTTTTTTGTAGTAAAAGATAACTTATTTATATTTGTTTGTGTAGTTTTACCCCCTACCATTATGCAGTACTGTAGATTCGAATAAACAAGTGAGTAATAGAGTTGCAATTTTAACCACTTCGGTAAGAGTTTCTTGAGTTTATTTTAATTACCCAGTCGTTCTCGATATACGGGAAGTCCAATTTGGGGTTTCTTCGAACACCACAACAATAGACTTTTTGTTGTTACGCAATCAATATTTGAACCTTGAAAAAAAAATTAAGTCACACAGAACAGGCGTCTTGTTTGGCCTAAATATAGCCTATTTTTTTTTACCTGTGTTAGGAAGCAGTTGATTATATTTTAGCCACAGTGATAAGTTATTAAACCAATTGTTACAAACTTGTCCGAGTTAAACCAAGTACCTACTTGAAAAAAAAAGACATTCGTGTCATCTGCGTATAAAATGATATCGTGTTATTGCGGTATAGTCACAATATCATTCATGTAAAGGCAAAATAACAAAGGCCCAAGGATGGAACCTTGTGGAACACCGTACCTTATTGGTGCCAGTTCCGATTTAAAACCATGTAATATTGTGTACTGAAAACGCGATGTTTAATTACTACTAATTATTTATACGAATTAAGTGTCTACCTTAAAGGGTAGGAAAGACGGAAATTAAACGAGCAGATAACAGTTGGAATCAAGTAATCATAGGTTACTCAGTACATACACCAAGTTTCATGATTATTAGAGCTCTAGTAATTGCAATAATCAATTAACGAATGTTGATCATTTTCATCTGGCGACCAGGCAACAGTGGACGAATTTTGACGTCGCTGCACAAGTTAGTAGCACCACGGTGTTCATAACGACTTTATCGTGATCGTGTGGTTGAGCGCTCCCTTAGTCTCGGGCTCACCCATGCCCTCAAGGAGGTTGTATGCTCACATGCTCGCCCAAGCTCGCCACACTATGATTATGATAGCACCATGCTAGTCGGCTACTCCAACTCTCCGAGGCTACCTCGCTCTCGCCTCCTTGCCCTTTGACCTTCCGTCCGCCCGGATCAAGGTACCCTCCGTACTTCGGTCTTGGCTCGCCGGTTTCCTTTCCGTTCAGATGCGATGGGTGTCAAAAGAACGCTTACGAGGTCCCAATGCGAAAACAATTATAAATGCCATGCTAAGCCTGTTGCGCGGTGTGATGTCGGGATGTATGCACGATAAACAGCCATCGGTTTTGTTGTTCCTGTTTTGAAAAATTCTAAGTGACAAAAAAACAGGGAAACGTAATGTCGCGCGCGATGGCTCGGCCCCGCCGGACGCGCTGGTGTTTTGTGCGAACCCTTCAGGGCCGAGTATATCGTTATGTGCGAGATTGTCACGACCTTCCTGAATGGGGTGGATCCGAGGGACCCGCAAATAAATCGATTTATCCACAAAACTATGGCGCCATTTACAAAACAATTATAGCAAACTTACAGGAACATAGAATTGGTCCTATAACAGCATTGTTATATTGTTTTTTTTTTCTTGGTGTGCCCTAACTCCATTAGGGTGGTCCCATTAGGTAATTTTGTGACATGATGCTGTTTCGTCTGTCCTGAACCGTATCTAAGCTCACCTCCCAGCTCGAGCTCTCCTATAGCTTTAATGAATGCTCAGAGCCGTTTCGATTCACGCTGGTGACATAAGGTACGAAGAATAGCATCACTCTAAGAACAAATTCTGTAATGTAATGACAGCTAAAAGCCATACTTTAATTTTATGTGTCTCTTGTCGAGGTTGTTAACGTCCATAGCTTGTTACGCACAATGTACAGTGCGCCTCAAACTTAACGCCGCCACGAGATGGTTCGGTTTCTTCACTTTTTGAGCTATTCCTGAACATAGCAGTCAAAATTGTTGGTGAAGATTTGCGTCCCCAATGAAAACTTAACCAGGGGAAGGTATTCCAGCAGCTGCAGGGATCAATTCATGTTTGGGTAGCATCCAATAAAATTGAATCGATCAATATTTGCGAAACCGAGTGGTGGCGTTAAGTTTGAGGGGCACTGTACATTGCTGCTAAACCTTTCCTGGTACGGACACGCCTATTTCTTTCGGCTGCTTCTGTCCCACCTGTTTCTGTTCGCAAGTCACAGCCATGTAAGGGCGACATTAAGTAGAGTCTGATTATGCGCAAGTGACAATCGGATAGGTAGATCTCAAATTTTAAGAAGCGCCCCTGGTGAGAAAAATATAATATATTTTTATGTCGTTTTTAGCTTGTGCGTTACAAGGCTCACTCACGTTAGTTGGAGTTTCCAAAATATAGAGTGGTACATGTTATTAAAATTTCGTTTGTGGGATTCAAATAGTTCCTGACAATCGCTTAATGTGCCGTTTTGGGGAGTTTGTATAACAATGCATAACTGAATGATCAATTAATGGTTTTTGTTATAACTTACCTGAACCCATAAATTTTGTTTAAAAATAATTTAACTTATTCCAATGGTATTACATTATTTTCTACCAAACGTCTACATTATTTTCTACTCTGACGGTGCACGTACATTCGTGTATCCGCCTCTTAATGCACTGTGTTTTTTCGTGTCCCGAGACGTGTTTTTCCTGGGAAAAACTATCTAAACTCGTTTGTGCTATACATCACATAATCACATAACAATGTCAAGTTAATTAACATAGTGAAGCAGTCAGCCCTCGTTCAATCTTCTTGTAAATCATTCAGGAAATCTTGGCAAGATCATTTGCGTGCAGGAAGCCCGTTTCTCGAAGAGCCAAATGTTTGTTTTCCCACGCTCCGTTGGACAGACGGGGCGCGGCATTGAAACGATGAAAACGCGAGTATGTTTGCGAGCCTGCGGGACCAATCAACAGCGTCAAAAGCGCGACGCCGTGATGATTCTTAAGTGTCTAAGTGTTCTATTATTGCTGAACCAATTATGTGGAGAACACCCAGTGCGCTTTTTACGCGGTTTGATAAGTCTTAGCACCGGCTGTGTCTGGATTTAAAGTGAAACAAAGTATATATGTGTCCAATAGGGGGGCTCAGCAGATAGTTTTTCAAGAGACCCCACCCTGCATTCCCCACAGCTGTTTATCTTTGCCAAAGCACGAGTCTCCGTTATGTGAAACTCGTATTTTGGTTCCAGAGGGACCGACCTCAGCGTTGATTTCCTGCTCCCGTCACGTGATCTGATTCGGTTTTAATCGGCGGAAAGCATCCCCAACCACGTCTCACGAGACTCACCTTTCACGCCGGCGTGATGGCACATGGACGCGAACTGCGTCGCCTCCATCTCGATGTTGATCACGTTCAGACTTTGCAGTCGCTCGAGGAACTCGAACTTCTTTTCCTTCGTGAAGTGGCAGAACGCGCCGTCTAGCCGGCCCTGACCTGTAAAACAAAGACGTCGGCGTTTTGAATCGCAGATCTGCATTCGCGGCGGCTGCTATAGGAAGGAAACTAAGTGACGTCATCAAACCACGTGACCATATTAAACGAGAGTAGTTCACACATCGGCCGAGAAACGGCGGGCGCGCCCGGCGGTGCCACAGGCCAGAGCCACTGTTCAGGCGCTTGCATCGAGCTGGAGGTAACGTCAACAAATCGTGTAAAAACACCTAACCAGAATATTTTTTTTTTCTTGCTGTTTGCCATAAGGGTTTGTAGAAAGTCGTGAGGGGAAAGTAGACTTGAGCTTAAAGCGCAGACACAAGCAGGATGCTATAAAATTATATCTTCGATGTCAATCCGAAATACCCGCGAGAATTATATTTCATATACTGATATAGAATACAGAGGCAAAACATTCCTTATACTCGCTTCTATATCTCAGGTATTTGAATAAATCACTGAAAATCACGTCGCAAGAAGAAATTAGAAAGCAGGGCACTCGAAAGCCTCGCGTTTGTGAACTTTCCAGCAACGCTTTTTAGAAGATCGACGCCTTTCTCTCAAAGAGACATTAGAGCTCGCTTTGGCCGGAGGTGATTTCGTTGAATATGAGTACGGAAAACAAGTGTGGCATATAAATCTTATCTGATTTCCACTCGTACTGGCATCCTAACAAAGTTGTTTTTGGAGATTTTTTTTCTTATCTTTCGGCCGGAAAACTTTACTTCTTACGAGAAAAAATACATCATAACTTTTTCGTTATTGGCACGGCACTCTCCTGTTATTTCTGCACCTGCTTTTCAATAGCTATTAGCCAAGCTACGGCTCATGACTCAGATAAAGAAACAATAATTTGCACACCAGTTTATTCCGTTTGCTGTGCTTGTCCGGCTAAAAAAATTAACAAAAATAAAAGACGTTTACAAATCTCTGTAATGCGAAATTAGAGCGCAGCTCTTGAGGAGGAGGAAGGGAGGGTACAGAGGGAAGGGTATGCACCTCCTCCTCCTCCGTACCTTCCCCTCTTCCTCCCCTCCTCGTCTTACTCTCCTCTCCTTCTTTTCCTCCGTACCCTCCCCCCTCCTCCTGTGTACCCTCCCAACCTTCTCCTTCATACCCTCCCCTCCTCCGACAGTTTACCCACTAAATTTAGCTGGAAAATTGACGACACGCGACCTCCCACACCAACTCAGTTTCCCCACTAAAATTAGCGGAGAAAATGACGTCACACGAATTCGTGTCAGGTCACCCATGAGCGAATTCAGCTTCTCTGCTAGATTCAGCGTGAAAATTTACGTCACGTGACCTCAACACCAATTCAATTTCCCGCTAAATTTAGCGGGGCGGTTCCGCCGACGCCGCTATAGGAGGAAACAATGGCCTAAAAGCTGCTCTCTAAAAGGCTGGAAAAATATAAAGCTCATTAGTCCGCCGTTTTCCTTTTAGCGGTTTATGTGAAGGTATTATGAGATTACTGAAAGAACTTTAAGGTCTTGGGCGCACTTCAGGAATTCGTGTTTGGCTTGAGCTTCTTTACAGCTGGGACTTGTCGTGCGTACTTTTTATCTTTCTCAAACGAAAATAATGTATTTTCTGGTACAGGCTATCCTGCCGATATTAATGGCACGGCCACTCGATTAGGACTCCCCTTGGGAGCGGCCTGCCGTAAACCTCACTCCGCCGGTGAGAGCGATAGTTCTACTTTACCCCGCAGCGCCAGCTGTGGCGCTCGTTATCGGTGAGAGATAAAGTTCCTTTCGGGGGAGCATATCGAGAAACTCTATACTTCGTTTCACGTTAGTGTGTACTTGTTGGCCGCGCGTGCTAAAAGCGCTAGATAGTTGCTTAGAAGGAAGCCTCGGCGGCTGCATGAGCGCTCGTGCAGCGAGTGCTCCAGTCAAGGCAGTAAAGGCTAGCCGCTCGCGCTAGCACAGCGTTCGCGGTTAGTCCATGCTAAGGTGAGATGAAATATAGTGAAAAAGGAGCAGTACGCCCGGCCCGGCCCGGTGTGGCAATTTAGATTTTTTTTTTTTTTCGTGAAGCCGCAAGATTTAATTGAAACGAACGCCAGATTGCATGTATGATGTGACAAATATGTGTAGAATAAAAGCACATGATCCTTTCTGCGAAAAGCACACTCAGCTGCAGGCTGCGCGTTAAAGCTGCATTCTGCTGCAGTATTAGCGAATTTTCGTTTTTTTGGTCCCGTAACTGTTGCCCCGTTTTTATTACCTCTGTAATATATGAGTTATAGTTGGATATAGCTAGGCCGTACAATTTCCGGTTTTAACCGACCCTCGAGTACGCGCGAACTGTGCCATTTATTCGTCTGTGAAGGACAATATAAAATCGGATTCCGGGTGCATAACTTCAGCAATATAAACTTCATTGTTCACAAAAAAAAAAAAAAAAAACAGACCAAGGAAGTCATATAGTTCACATGCGGAGTGCATGTGAACTATACGACTTCCTTGGACTTTTTTTTTTTTTTTTTTTTTTTGTGAACAATGAAGTTTATATTGCTGAAGTTATGCACCCGGAATCCGATTTTATATTGTCCTTCACAGACGAATAAATGGCACAGTTCGCGCGTACTCGAGCGTCGGAAGCCTCAATATATTCTCGAGTGGGCTGTTTAGGTCACCAGCCCAGTTTGCCAAAAAAGGTCTGAGAAGTTTTCTCAGAAAGAGCTCGCAGAGCTCTTCGCTGTGGTAGGGGTCTCGGCAGTTAACACACCACATCAGTCGGCGGTCCATAAATTGTGGAAGCACAGCGCTCGAGAGGAACTTGCAAATCCTTCCACAACCGCGAATATCTGCCGACTGTAGAGCCCTATCGACAAAGGTGCAGACGAGCTTGCACAGCCAGACAGCTTCAGGTCGTGGATAGCTCAGTCCTACTTGGTCAAGGCTAAACATGGACTGATATGCTCCGTCATGCGATGCATTTCCCTTAAGTTGCGCTTGCATTCAGGACACGTCACCTGCAACGTTTAGCGGGTTCTACACATTAACCTTCCTTGCTTTCACTGAGAAATTCTTATTCCTTTGCTAGGTTGAATGTTTCAGCTAATTACTTTGAAATTATGACAAGTTCTACAAATAAAAATGGTCACCTTTTGTTTGCAATCGAGGGCCAAGTAGCCAGCCATGTAAGTCAGCGGTGCGAACTCAAGTTCGGAAGAGACTTTATTGTGCTTCAACTGCAGGATTTCCTGTTTCACGAGTGCAGTTGGCACATTTCATCGCCGTCTAGCACTCAGAACTAGAACGCGCATTTACATTTCCGGCAGCTTCCAAAATGCCAACACAAACCACACACGCGAGTGCAGAGTGACACTACGATATTTTTGCCGAGCACGCCGGTGCATAGGTGGGGGGAAAGCGAGTTTTGCTGCCTTCTGCAACCGGGGCAGCGCCTCGATATTGCCGAAGCCAATGACAGGCAGATATTTTATCTGGGTAGCGGAGCAAGAGCGCGTTGGGCGCCTTCTCTAAACTCCGTTTCACCTTATGTTGTACCGCAGCGAAGGCTGGAAGCGTGAGCTCATAGCGTTGACAGCTGCCCTTGCTGCACGAGAGCTTGTGCCGCCGAGGTGAAACAGAGTATTAGCCCCGTGCGCGACCGAAAGCGTCGCTGTGGTCGGCCTTCCACGATTGGCCGAGCGCTGACTATGACGTAGGGAAGGGGATTTATCATCGACGGAAATAAGAGGAATGATAGAACTTTAATTTTGACGGTGTTGGCAGTGTTGCTTTGAGAGCGCAATGATTTCAGGCTTCCACCATGCTATTTACGAACACCATCGAACTTGTTGTTAGCAAGGTAATGACGTAACAAGGGGGAACTATAGGAGGGCGCCACCAAAACATCTCGCCGCTAATATCGCAAGACCGCTCACCGATGTGCAGCGCCCCCACGGAAAATGGGAGAAGTTCTCCTCTCACGCGCGCTCTTTTGTTTTCGGAAAAACATCGGCAGGCCGCACCAACAGGGGGGATCGAGTGGCCGTGTTAATGGTGTCCACGTAGAAGACAATAGGTTTTGTTGAGTTGCCAAAAACAACAAGGTTTTTTTTTCGTGTTAGTTTCCGGTTTGATGACAAATATTTGATTTATAGTGATACTAGGCGCAACTTAAAGTACCGTTTTGGTTAAATGACATCAGAGCGAACTATTTATGTTCAGAATGAAACAGCAAAATTCGGTCGGTCGTATATGATGCTTCGACGAGACAGAAATAGAACGATTGACGCCAGGACAGGTACTGTGTAAACTCAGTGCATTTTTGTATACACTGTAATCAGGATGATAGCATGAAGCTTTTATTAACAAGCGAGGAAAAAACAGACAAGCTCAAGACTGCTGTATCCATAGAGTTATCATAATGTACGCTTGAGGTCCAACTGACGTTAGTGTCTATGGAACTTCCGGATTCAAACTGAAGCCGACAGCAACCAGTCCACTTTTGCGATGCTCTGGTGCATTCCTACGGGAAAACGCGCGTGTATTTTGTCGCTTTGCCGGAGAATAACAGGAATTACCTTTGTTACTTGGGCCGTAGCGAAAAGTAGGTAAAATATTAACATTATAAAAATAAAAACGCTTTAGTTACAGTATTTGTCCAATCAGTGAGCGATGTTAAGTCCCCAGTATTACGGCCCCAGTCCTATGTTCCACGGCAAGTGTGCAAAGACAAGCGGCGAATCTAAGCAAGAATAACTGTCGAAAAGAACGTAAGGCTTGTTTGGAGCGCCGAAACCACGATGAAGCTAATAACCAGGGAGATCTGTATGCCACTAAAATAACCACCATTTAGGTGTGTCTAAAACGTGTAAAACTGTAGAAGTATACACGCACTATAAGAGGTGTTTATCTTTTTATGGTTGTGCTTGATTTACCAAGCAGTAAAAGGTTTCTGACGCTTTACATTTTAAAACTTTTCGAGTATGCAGATATGAGTTTGGAATTATAGAACAAACTTACCTTTGCACTCATCCG